AACCGGCGTGAAACAACCCACAGTGTTGTGTTTCGCCGTGTGAGTGAGGTTACCGGAGGCCCAATCCCTTCCCTTCCCCTATCCCTTTCCCGATCCTTATATTCGCAACCTCTATCCCAAATGGCCGGCAACGCACTCGTAACTCCTTTGGTGTTGCGGGTGTCCATGGGCGGCACCGAGTGGTAATCCGTTTGCTCGTGTGCCGACTTATACCATAAAAAAAACCATGGAAAAGAAACGTGGCGATTTTAAGTCAGTAAGAGTCGGGATTTCTTCTTGCCATACTCAGGGCGGTAGAAATGACTCGACAATGAGTATATCCCCATTTAAAAGTAAAAAAGTTATAAAATTATTCATTTTACGTACTAGAATCTTAAGGTATTTTATCTATTCGTATCTAGACATCGAATAAAAGTACCAATGGAGAATTTCAGAGATGAATGATAACTATCAGATACTTTTCAAATAACCTTGTTGAATTGATAAGTAATTCTTGATTTAAATTCTTACGTTTTTAGGTATATTAAGGGAATTGTGTTTATTCTTGTGTTTATTGTTGTTTTTTATTGACTGAGAAATTAATCTACACTTAATTTATTTATAAAGTGAGTTACAAAACTCAAGAGTTTGTTTGAACGCGCCTATCTCCGAAATTACTGGATCGATTTGAAAAAATCTTTTTGTGTAGCATAATCCCTTTATCGAAGAAGGCTTTTCAACCTTTTAATTGTGGTAATTCGAGACAAAATAGAAGAAGTGAGCGAGCGCCGGCTTTCGCTTGGGGTTTGATGCACGTATAACCCGCTACAAGTACCTACCTAATAGGAGATGATAAGCATATGCAACAGCTCTGTTGTAGTAACTTATATAATATAGAATTAGGAATCCATAATGATTTTCAACTTTAAAATCTTTTAAATTACTTAATAAATTTTAATAAAACGTTTACTTATAAGTACGCAATATATCAATATCCAATTATCCATACAAACTGCTTCGTAATTACATATATATAGGTACATATGTGACATTGGATATTTGACGATTAAAATAATAACATTCTCTCAGTTTCTGTTGGAATACTATCATCAGTTAATTTGGAAGCGATACGGAATTATCCGAACCAGTTAGTACCTAGTTAATATAATAACACCTAAATATACAAATAAATGAATAGCGAAATGTGTTGGTTAGCGCATAATTCAAAAACGACTGGACCAATTTTGACAATTCATTTTTGTTGTGTTTCTTATTGTCAGGAGACAGTTCTTATTAAATAGGTAAAATATTTGAAAAGTAACATGGAAAATTCGACCCTTTCAGGGTTAACGAGATAGTTGGACCAGTGCGAAGCGGGGGCAGGTTGCTAGTACTAGTATAATAATAAAAGATAAGTTTGTGAAAACAAATGAATGAATTTACAAAACTTATTATAATAACCAGTTTGTTTTGGTCTTGCCATTTATTATCTTTCCTCACATTCAACGGTCAGTTTGTCCTGGTTTTATTTGATGTTTAGCAGTAGTACTTGAAGGTTCTCATATTTCCATGTCTTGTGGTTCAGTGTTTGTTTGCCTCTGCTAAGGTGTAAGTGTCATGTTGAGTAAAGTAATATTATAATGTGTAATACGGTAGTTTCCAACTAGTCAAATTCAATACTTTTATCCAAACGCCAAAAACGAATATTTTCTATGAAATTTGTATGAAAAACTGAGCTATGACGTCATAACTTCTTGCGTGAAATAGCTTACTTATTTCTTAATAATAAGCTAAAAAAAATCTAAAAATTAGTACATCTATCGATCGATTAATAAAAGTATAGTTATTTTTCAATATTTTATTGTATTGTTATTTTTCAATATTTTATATTTTTCTATATTTTGTATTGAAACGTCGAAATAATTTATTTTTGACCTAGGAAACTACCCAATTGTAATAAGTAAGGAGGTACTAATAGTAACCAGTATCAACAAAATTTATTGTTTTTGATCGGATGTCCATGGTAGGCTGATTAGGTGCCCGCTATCACGCTATCCGTTGTTTGCCCATAAAAAACATAATATGACGGATTCCCTAAAACCAAATGTGTCAAATCTATGAATTTCGAACTTTCTACTTGACTTAGAACTGATTTTTCAATAATCAGATAAATGTTATCTGACAAATAAAATTATTGCTGTCACTGTCTTATACAAACATTCTGACGCGACAGCATTATAATTATTCTTCAGGTAACTTTTATCTAACCATTGAAAAATCAGTCCTAAGTCAACAAATAACATCGACTTATTAATGCGATAAAGAATTAAAATGGAAGTTATTTTTTATCGATTTTTCGACACATTTATTAAAATATGGATAAAATAATAAAAATAAATAAATTACGTATATCGACATAATAATATCAGTGCGATAAAAATAATAAAAAAATGTTCAACGGGCCTCTGCGAGTTGGCTTTGGCTCCTCGTACGCCTTCCAAAGGTCCGGGATCCTGTGATCCCGTGAAAGGAAACGAACAAATAAAAAAATAACTTCATCTTTATTTATGGACTAGCTTTTGCCCGCGACTTCGTTCGCGTGGAATAGTGACTTCCTGCAGATTTTAGGTATAAAAACTATCCTATATGTCCTTTCTCGAGTTCCAAACTATGTTTGTTCTAAATTTCACAGTTTAGTTTTAAAGTTCAGTAGTTTAGGCGTGAAGAAAAGACAGACAGACAAGCTGAGTTACTTTTGCATTTATAATACTAGTAAAGATTTCACGATGCATTAAAAATATAAAATAATAACTTAAGTACCTAAGAAAATGAATTTGATTTTGAAAAGTATTTATGTACCTACTCAATCACAAGCAATTTTTGACTGCACTCTTGGCACAGCATCCAGCATTCTTTTTTGGTTTGATTGGTTCCGGGTTTGGGTGTGACAAGTGCTTTTATGAAATTTTATGGAGTTTCTTGCTCGTTCTTCTCCATTCGAATTTACACTAATTTAGAGCGAGCACCTAGCTTCAATGACGAACATATTGACAGACAATAATATCACCTGTTGGTATGGTTTCGTTGGAAAATTCATTTTGACTTTGATTTTATGTTTAAAATGCGGGTGCATTTCGCTGATATAACATATCGATACAAGACATAAGAAGATCCTCAACACCAATAAACCTCAATTAATAAGTTCATTAGCACAGCCATGCTCGGCACGTATTATGGAAAGAAAAATAAAGTACCTAGCAAAAATCAACAGTAAAAAAAATACTCTAAGTGCCGTGTCTTAAAACACAAATTCATTTACACGGTTCATTTAGATATTGCAATGTTTTTTTTTCAGTGCTGTAGTTACTGTTTTATTTTCCTTATCCGTTTGGTCACGATGTAACGAACATGCTGCATGAAATTTGAGTTTCACATAGATAATTGAGTAGGTTTAGGTCATTGAGTCAGAAATACTTATAAGTAGGTATTTCAGCACACGACACAATAGAATATACTGCTTTAAATGTGAAAGAGCCAAGCTTCAGCACGAATTGGTCAACTAGACTAGAGTCATTCACAGAAAACTGACGTGAAATAACCACAGCGTTGTATTTCGCTGTGTGATTGAGGTTGCCGCAGGTCTTCCTCTACTCCCGTATGTCGCTGATAGCTAAATCTCCGAAATCCTAATCCCCAAATAGCCGGCAATCACTCATAGCTCCGGTATTGCGGGTATCCATGGGCGGCCCCCGATTGCTTACCATCAGGTAATCCGTCTGCTGGTTTGCCGTCTTATCATTTAAAATAAGAACGCAAGATTTTTTCTTGCCATAACAAATGAAACTGATGCGCTAATGGCGTAACACGCTCTGTCAGGACATAGTCACATAATTCCGTAATTTTTCTAATAGAGAAATATTTTCTTTGTCAATTACACTGATTGGTCAAAAAGACAACCGCGACATTAACGCCATCTGTTGATCAAAGAAGCAACTGTAAAAGGTTGTTAAAGCTAGCGTGTCTCCTTACTTGATTATCTGTTTTTCTTATCTATTGTTACTTGAGTGTTTTTTTCGCTTAATCTTTTGTTACATTGTCTTACTAGTAGGCAAAAACTTAGTACCTATCTAGTCCTACAAATTTAATACGTTAATAGGTACTGACTAAAGTAGGTACTTTAAATCAAGCCATAATATATTTTTTCTTTCGAATATGTATAATGAGCCGTGGTGGCCCGGAGGTTAAGGAGCCCGCTTCTCATGCATGATGATGGTGTGGGTTCGAAACCTGGCAAGTACCAATGTTACTTTTTCCGAGTTATATGTACTTTCTATGATTATTTAGACACCACTGACATACGGTGAAGGTAAAAATCGTGAGGAAACCTGGACTTATAATTTCTAATTGTAAGTTTGAAATCGCCAACCCGCATTGAGCAAGCGTGATGAATAATGCTCTAACCTTTTCCGTATGAGAAGAGGCCTTTGCTCAGCAGTGGGATGCGATGATGATGATAATGATGATGTATAATGATGGATGGCATAATCAAAGGAGTAACGACTGCGTTCGCGGTCTTTTGGGGATTTTAGTTTCTGAGATTCGGTGGTGAAGGATTGGGTCTCTGGTAGCCTCACTCACACGGCGAAACACAACGCTATAATTGTTTCACGCCGGTTTTCAATGAAGCCGTTTTATCTCTCCGGCTCCGACACCGATGACGAAGAATAGGTCAAACGCACTTAAAAAAATATATTTTTATGATACGTCTTAAAGAGTAATGTTTTTTACTTCGAAAAATAAACGAAAACGTTTTGCAGAACATTATAAACTGGTTCTTCGACTTGATTGAAGTCTCAGAAGATGAATATAAAACAAAAAGAGACACAATCCAAGTTGTTAAATTCAAATATTAGGTATTGAAAAAGCCAATATTCATGGCTAAGAGGATAAAGGCGTTTTCAAAAATAAAAGTCTTTAATAAAAAAAGTTAGTTATTTAAATATGATTTTTCCTTTTTCCAGATTAATTATTCAAAATGTTCAAGACTTTAATGTTTGTGGCTGCGGCTGCAGTGTTGGCGTCAGCCCATGATGACTCAATAGTAAGTACCTTCTTTATTGTACAGTATTTAATAGTAAAGTTTAGATTAAAAAAAAAATATTGTAAACTATTCACGTTTCTTAAAAACTACATGAATACTTAAATCTTTGTCTCATTAGCTAAAACTAAAATTAAGCAGATCTAAAATCAATTACTATTACACGAAGTGCCAATCAAAATCTACTTTACGAAGCAGCTTCATATCTTGGGGCATTCGGTGACTATATTTGATGAACCATCCCCTCCATATCTAGATGAGAGATCCCCAAAGATGTAAAAGCCTTTGAAGTTGCGGCTGTGCAAGGTCGGTGCTGATTGCTTTCCATCAGGCGATCTCTCTACACGTGTGCAGAGTTATACCAAAAAAAAATATTCAGAAAATAGAAATATTTATGATAATTGTACAATTCCGGACAGTGAACCTATAAGTACTTATATTTCCCCACTCAAAAACATTTAAAAATGGTCCTCATCCTCAATTTTCCAGGAAGTAAAGCAAGCTATCGTGAAGTTGGATGGTAACGGTGTGTCTGGCCTGGTGAAGTTCATCCGTTTGGATGATGGCAAGGTCCACGTGACTGGCAAGGTGACTGGCATGCCCGCGGGCCAGTACGGCTTCCACATTCATGAGTCTGGAGACTTGTCTAATGGCTGCATTTCCACCGGAGGACATTTTAACCCCAACGGAGTAAGTGGTCTAAATCCTAGTTAGTTTTTGTACAGCTTCATTTTTCCATCAAAATTCAGTATTTTCAAAGCTTGAACTAGAACCAATTTTGAATCCTATCATGACCACTAACCCTGAATGTTCTCACTTCAGAATGACCATGGACATCCTCACGATGAAAACCGCCACGTTGGAGACCTTGGAAACGTTGAGTTCGACAACACTAAGACCGCCAACATTGACTTCGTAGACCCTCAGATCAAGCTGAACGGTCGCCACAACATCATCGGCAGGGCTCTGGTCCTCCACCAGGGTGCTGATGACTACGGCAGGACTGACCACCCTGACTCCAAGAAGACTGGCAACGCTGGCGGACGTGTCGTCTGCGGAATCGTCGGAATTTTGTAGGAAAATAATTTTAACCTATTTGTCTGACGATGTTTCTTGGGGAATTATGGCTGTTGTTGATCTGAAATCTGGTGGATTTGCAACCGAAATTTTATTATTTTTGACATTGTATTCATTTACATGCAATCAAATGTGAAACGAAACCATACAGGGTTGTTATTAACGGTTAAACTCGGTTGCTATATCTTCAAACTGAACAACATGGAAATAAAACAGCGTAAATTGTATGGTCTGCTATCATTTTAGACGTCTGCTTTTAACTTTTAACTTCTCTCCCTTAAGTAACATCTGTAAGGCTATTCGTGGACTAATTTTACCATTCCATTCTACTAACAGATATTTGAGACTTTATTTTTTCCCTGCTGGGTGAGCAGCTTTAACGCTAATACCATCCACATCAATAACTAAACCTTAACACCCAAATTCACTATTCTGATAGTAATTTTTAATCTATTTCACCTATTAGGTAGAAGAAAGAAATAGAGTGGATAAGACTTGTAAGTTCTAGTTAAGAATCTCAGTAGAAATTGTTATTTTTATAATGATAAGTACAATTATAATGACAACATAATTTTTCGTTTTCTATTCTTTACCTTTTTACATTTCTTCCAAGGATATGTTTTCTTATGTACAGCCGATTTGAATAAATTTTCTTTATAAATGTTTGTTTTAATTGTTAGGGTTTTATTTTTATTAGTTTTTTTACATTAAAGGCACAAGGTATTTTATAACATAAAGGTGCCATTATTTTATGAAGATGTAATTATATAGAACCGGTCCGAAAAAGGGGCTTCCCTTCCATTCTTATTCTAGTACCTGTTGTTTTTGTTTTGTTGTGTATCGTGACTAACAAATATTTTAATTAATACGCTGATGCACTGGTCCTAAATATACCTTGGTATTTATTGATTTGTTTTTCGACACAAAAACGTGCAAACACTTACGAGCCAAAAACATATTAAAATTACATTTTGGTTCATTTTTTTTTCTGGGTATAAACATAAAGGTACAAAATTTCGACCTATGTATGACTTCATGCAAAAAGGAATATCCTTTTTGGTACTTAAGTACAAAGAACCAAAATATTAGTTAACTTAGGGAGAAAGCAATGATGGCATATTAGGTACTCAAAAACAAACTGAAAACCTACACTAGCTTTGAATTTTAACACGTAAAAAGTAATTGTAGATAAGATCATCTTCAAAATTTTCATTACATAAAAAAGTAGCTAATCAATATAGACTTTTTCTGAGAAATAAAGATCGTGCAATTTGGATACCTATATGCTTAGACAGATAGTTGTCAGATTATTACTTTAATAAAAAAAACTTTGGAAGTAGACAAACTGGAATCGCTTTACAGAATGTATCCAGCTGTCCAGCCAGCGTTGTATGAATTAATTTACACAAGGCCCGGCTGATTGGATCATTGTACTCTTATTACAGTTCAGGATGATGCTATTTAGGTACCATTTATTGCATCTGCGAATGTATGCGATAAGTCTTTACAATGGCTAACATTAATATTATTATAGGTACTCAATGTATTGTTACTGAAACGTGGTATTTTGTGGACGAGAAAGGACCACGTCTGTTCGTTTTTCGAATAGCTTAATTATTAAAAAATTTCATGACGGGACAAAATGTACCTACAGTTTACTGAATATAAAATGGCTTTAGAATTATAATTTAATCAACATACTATACTTACAAAGTGTTTAAGGAAAAAATCATCAAGTTTTAAGCCTAGGGACTAGGTAATCATGAGCGGTAGGTGAATGGACATGCTACGTGGCGAATGTCTTCGCGCAATGGCGCAACCAACTGAGCTTGAGTATGAGTCCCCAGCATAGCTTGAAACTAGACGAGTTGCTCGTCAAAAAACATATACTATAAAAAAAATCTGTCTTACGACAAAAATAATACTGTTTTTTTTTTTATAATAAGGAAATGTTACAGACTAAATTATTCTCAAACTTAATTAAAAATACATATTTATTGGTGTCGGCCTTCCCTATATCATATCGTAAAAGAGAAAAAAGAAAAAGAAAAGAAAGAAAAAGAATCGTCATAAGATTTATGGTAATATTACTTATTCAATTCATTTTTCTCAATCCAAACACAATATTAATTCTTCATACGCTGATGTCGCTGCAGATGCTGAGCGAGGGCCATTTCGTGTGCTTGTGACGCATGTTTTCCCCTATAACCTACTCTTTTTTATATTGTATAACCATGTTTTTTTTTTGTTTCATGTTTATATACTTGTTTTATTTTGTGTCTTATGTGCGTCCTAGACGCGAATAAATACTTTTTCTTTCATACTCTCCTAATTGGTGTTAAGTATTCCATTCCTTTTCCTGCTTTTAGGCCGAGGCCGCGGTGTCTTATTGCGCTTGTCCCGACACCCCGGCTGAGCATCAGCCCTAAGCTCTTAGTTATATGGTTTTGGGAAAACGCTTGATTGATTTGTCCACTGAGAAATCAAAACCCAATCCTTACCTTACTTTATGGGGGATCTTCTAGTCCATGATCTTCAAAAGGCCGTCCTATGGTCCTATATTTTTTTGTTTTTTTTTTTTAATTTTGTTTGACGTTCAAAAGTGCCTGCAAAGGTCTAATTGGAATAAATGATTTTTGACTTTTTTTTTATGCCGAAAACCCAGTATGATTCTACCTTCGTATTTAAATAGTTGCCTATATAGTCCACATTTGTGATGCTTCTGGTTTAACTCGCTTGTTAAGGCTACGAATACTGCTTACCATCAGGCCGCGTGAAATTATGTTAAAAGGTTTCAATTTATTTTCCAGGTCCGAAGAACCCCCAACGGCTAATTCGGCTGCAACTTCTACCAGTAGTATACTGACAGTTATTTCTATTTACTCTTTAATTGCTATTTTATTGAATTAAACTAAGATTAATATGTAACTTATACTGTTCATAGGAACTAAGGAATATGCTGTACTGTAATTTATGTACTTAATTATGTCAATTGGCTTATATATGTAAATGTTTGGCAAAATATCTCGACTAGTTCCAAGCCATGCAGCCCTGTAAACTGCGCATCGTGTGTCATGCTACGCTCATAATCATGAGCCCCTTTTTGCGAGGGGAATGTCATCAAATGTCTTCTCCCGCCCAGGGTGGGGCTGGAGGGAGTGTCAGACTCTTACTGACTAAAACCACCCCGTTCCTTCTCCTGCTCTAGGCCGAGGTCGCGGTGCGTTATTGCGCTTGTCCCGCAACTCCGGCTGAACATCAGCCCTATAGGACCCTGTCTGAATTATAAGCCCCTAGCTTGGCTTGAAATTAGTCGAGTTACTTTGCCAAAGAGTACCTACATAAGTAAACTACCTACATAACTTTATTCATATACAAACATATAAATTATAATGTAAATCAAATACTTAATTTTTTGGATTATACATAATTTAAATGCTAAAGATAAAACAGTACAAATCGAACGAGTCATCCCGGGTTTGACCAGTGATAGTCTTCTGATTTTCCCAGTTACTTTTCTTGTTTTTCTTTGATTTCATGACTTTTCTTTTAACAAGAAAAACAAAAGCATGGTCGAATGAATTCGATAATAGTGCTTATCACTTTAACACCGATTGTTTGTTATTTATTTATTGTTTAGTATAACAATATGGTAGTAGGAAGTAGTTAACTATTGCAATTAGGTACTAAGCAACCTATCAAATTCAATACTCTTTTCGAATTGTGAAAGTATTATTTTATGGGAATGTGTTTTGTTAATGGAAATGTGTCATGTCTTTTCACATCAATAAATATACAGATTTTATAGAAAGTATAAAAAAATACGAATATTGAGGATGTCATAAAATCAATGAACAAAAATATGAATAATTTTTAATATTTTATAACATAAAATGTCGAAATATTTTATATTCCTCTAAATCAAATGCCCAATTGAGCAAGTGTCAACTTAGGGCAAGTTTCTCAACGTTCGGATAGACGTTATTGTTTCAGATATTTAAATATCGAACTTACTATTCTATTAATTATGTATGCTATTATGTAAGCTATAATTACCAGTATAAAATGACCGTTGTAAGTGCGAAATGATCATAGGTGGCGAGACCAGGGGTCCGAGTCTACTATTTTCAAAGTGTTGTCATTCTTACACGATTCCATTGTCATTTTGCTAAAAGTTCGTAATCTGTTAATTCAATATGGCTGATCATTGGCGTTCGGCGATGTCTTAATAGAATTATAGTACCTACGAGATGTCTTGTAACGAATTATAAACAATAACTGCACATTAATATTGTAAACGTAAAACATTGAATAAAGGAACTGACATTTTTTTTATTAATTTACCGCATTATGTCAAATATTCATTTGTCATTATGTACGAGATTACCGTTGTAAAGAATTATTTCAATGAAATGGCATTGGAAAGTCATAATGACGCTATTGTGTTAGTAGATTACCAAACTTGTCAAAATCAACAATGTTGAAACCAATGATCTACTATTCTGACACTATTGTAATAGCAGACTCGAGGCCCAGTATGCTGGTTATTATGGCTTGATGCTCACTTGTTCAGCCCAATGATGAAGAGTATCTGATTAAGATTCCAGTGAAGTTTAAGACCTGTGTCATACCTATTATTGTTTTTTACTTGCTAATAATTTAATTTATTGTATAATGTTGTTGATATTTTATTGAGAGTTGTAAATTATACTATAATTATACATTCCTAGATGTGGCGAGAGCAAGTGTCAGACACTTACTTGATTACGCGCGTGCCTCACTGAACCAATAGAGAATAGACCACCACATATGGGGTCCAACATACCCAATGCTCAGCTGGGGCCGCGGGTCACGCGAAATAAGATATCGCGGCCTCGGCCTGGAGCAGGAGTAGAAACGGGGTGTTTTTAGTCGGTAAGACTCTGACACTTCCTGCCGCCCTAATATGGGCGGGAGAAGTCATTTGATTAAAAAACACGCGTTTTTTCTTCTACCTTTGTTACATCATCCTGCCATTATAGTGCTTGTAATCGCAATGCACGCTTAACCTGTTTTGTTGCGGATAGTTACGTAAATCATTTTCATACCTTTTTATATTGTAGTTAATGTTTTTTTCAGAATCTAAATACAAATTGTACCTACTATTTATTATTTACGAAAGAAACTAAAAAGTTATTGAGTCATATTTATTAAGTAGTAAACGTATATTTTTTGTATTACTTTAATAAGTAAGAATATTCTGAATAAATATGTTTACAGAATTGTTCTATTATTTGTTCACCCTACTTTAAAGCTTAAATACTAACGGTTGAAGAAAATCCTAGCACTTTTTTTTTAAAGAATCCAATTCAAAATACAGAAATACAACATACATTATCATCGTCTGCCTGTAAGTGCCAACTTCCGAGCGAAGGTCTCTTCTCCCACAGAGAAGGTTTGAGTATTAAACACCGCGTTTGCTCAAGCCGGAGTGGCGATTTCAAACATAAATATAATTAGAAATTATAAGTCCAGAATTCCTCACGATGTATTCCTTCATCGTAATTATGTTATGTATGACTCTAAAAAAGTCACTAGATTTCCAACCAGCAGCCATGAGCTGCCAGCATCTTAACCTCCGGGCCACCACGACACAGTCAAGTACAAAGTTCGTAATAAAACAAAAAATAAATCCTTACAATATATGACTCCATACTGGTGATCGATAAAAATAAACGATGGGAACTTAAGTTACTATAAGGGAAGTATTCATAAATTCCACACCCTATACATCACAGCTGCATGTTCCCACACCATGTATAGTTAGACAATATGGCAGGCTTCTTACTAAAGGAGACTAAATGCAAAAAGTTTTTATAAAAATAATTTTTAACAAAAAAAAAACCGACATCAAAAGTAAACTAAAAACTAAAAAGCAAAAAATAAATTTACTTTGTTCAAAGTAATACTACGTAAAAATACGTAGTAATACACACTTTCATTTAGTTAAATAGAAAATAATATTTAGTAACTGTTTTATAATCTTAAAGTCGGTGCCAAGTAAAACTATAACAGTGTAAAGATATTACTTACATACCTCTTGCTAATTTGATGATTAGTAGGTACCGATCAATATATTTTTCTAATACTGTTGTTGTTTGGTATGTAGCATTTACTTGGCACCGACTTCAAAATTATAAAATAGTTACTAAATATTTTTTTCTATTTAACTAAATGAAAGTGTGTATTACTTTGAACAAAGTAAATTTATTTTTTGCTTTTTAGTTTTTAGTTTACTTTTGATGTCGGTTTTTTTTTGTTAAAAAATATTTTATTTCACCATTTTAAGTGATAGGCAGAGAAAATTAGGATGCTTCTTAAAAGTGAAGACGACGGCTACTTGAGACCGAAAATCACAGTAACGGCAGTCCTGAGTTAGTCAGCTTTCAGTGCCGTAAATCGTTGAGGAATTCCCGCGAATGTCAATGACCGCCATTATCAGGTATACTGCAGACCTTCATTATACATAATCCATATAGGTGCAAAGTTCTCATCAATATAAATGAATTAATTGGACTTAATTACACGAGGTAGTTACTGTAAACCGTTCAGGAGTTCCCTGAGCTGTCCATAGTTCTCAACATCAGACCCTTAATGACAGTCACGACCAATCTTGGTGCAAAGTGCTCACCAATACGAATCATTCAAGCCTAAACACAAGGCAACTACTACAAACAATCAAGGAGATCCCTCGACTGCCTCCCGGCTCCATCATCACAATTTACTGCATAACTTCATTGTAATCCATAGAGGTGCAAAGTTTTCATCGATATAAATGAATGAAGTCCAAACACAAGGTAGTTACTGTAAACCGTTCAGGAGTTCCCTGAGCTGTCCATAGTTCTCAACATCAGACCCTTAATGACAGTCACGACCAATCTTGGTGCAAAGTGCTCACCAATACGAATCATTCAAGCCTAAACACAAGGCAACTACTACAAACAATCAAGGAGATCCCTCGACTGCCTCCCGGCTCCATCATCAGGTCGGGTTCGAACATCGGCAAGTTGTAAATTTGTCAAAAGCCTACTAAAACCATATGCAAAAGCACCACTCGCCCCTATAATTTTTGAAAGTTCCCCTCGATTTCTCTGGTTTTCCATCATCAGATCCTGATTTCCTTATCATGGGACCATTCTGGGACTATCTCCTTTCCAATAAAAAAAGAATTATCAAAATCGGTTCATAAATAACGGAGATATGGGCGAACAAACACAAAAAAAAAGCATATATACGGTCGAATTGAGAACCTCCTCCTTTTTTGGAAGTCGGTTAAAAAGTATTACACTAAGTAGTAAAAAAAAGTCTGAAATCATGGAATCCTTGTCCGATTAGTATTGATCATTATGTTTGTAGCTGTCTTTTAGTATGTTTTATCTTATATTTATATGTTTTTTATATAAAAATCAATGCCACTTTTCGGTGTAATGTGTAACTCAACAATGCCTTTACCGATTTGGCTAATTTTTTAATTTGAATTATCCGTGGAAGTCCAGAGAAAAATAATATGTAGAGAAAATAAAAAAATACTTGAAAAAGTGTAAAATTGTCATCCATACGGGCTGCTAGTTTTTTGTTTTGATATTTTTTTCACCAACAATAGAATCAATTAGTTATTTAGTTTGTATGGTTAGATTCCTAGGAAATATTAATATTGTGTTTGAAGTGTTAACCCTTGTTAAATAATAGTTAACCCTTTGTTAAATGTGTGGTGAATAATGCTCAAACCTTCTCCGTGTTCTCTTATGGGCTGAATGCGATGATGAAGTGATTCTCAACATTGAGATCCAAGTTAGAAGAGATATCTAAAAATCATGTAGTACGAGTAAATGGATTGCAGCTGGCTAATGTTGGTGTATATTCTTGTTAGTAGACTGTTTTATACGTAAAGGCAAAATAAAAAAAAATTGCAATTAGACTATTATAGGCACCTTTAAACTTACGGAAGATATAAGGTTTCTTTGGTCAGTCAATTTTTCTTTTTTTTATGCATTGCCCCATACTAGGTGTCACTCCATACAATTTTACAAACACTATATGATCCCCAGACCCGGTTTAACAACTTGTGGATCACACAAAGAGTTGCCACCGCGTCAACCGTGCAGTCAAAGTTATTCCTATGGACAAGGACGTCAAAGGTCAAAGCAACCAGACAAGAAACTTCATTGTTACTGTTTTTTGTTATGTTTTAGAATCAAAACTTTGTTACATTTTTAAGTTGGTTCCACAATTTGAGAACAGTGCTACAATTATACACACAATTAGAAAAGCAGTTACTCAGCCTGCGTGCAATGGCATTGTGGTTAACTGCCAAAGAATATAAACTGAAGATATAGATCGTATGGAGATCTAGTTCTCATCATTTTATGAATATTTAGAGTCGCTATCAACTGCAGAACTACGCGATGCTTGGGTGTTCCTGCGCAAAAAATCGAATTAAGTTGCCACCAACATAGCTCGCTGATGTTCAGGCAAAGCGGGGTAAGCGCAACATGGCACCGCGACCCACGGACTGGCACAGGGGAAGGAAAATTAAACATTGAATTATAGTAACGAGGTTGTTGGTGAACGTCTTTCAGCTAACGATGGTGCTAATGATGGTTTAGATCACCCATT